GAGGTATTCCTTGTTCCTGATGCTGAGTGAAAACCAAAATGTTTCCTGGACAAAGTCCGAAGTTAGAAGGATCTTGTCAGACTTAAAAAATTGATGCATCAGCAGATAGAGTAGACTCAGAGAATGGAGTGAGGAAATTAATTTTTTATTTATTCTTGAGGAAGATAGCTATTTTAAATGTGCCAAGTGTGATATATGTTTTCCTCCTTCCATAAATCAGTCCTCTTCTCAGGAGTGTTAGATCTATATATTGATCTGCATGGACTGCTGTCCCTTAAGTCTTCCTTCCATTACTCACCAAGGCTTCCAGGATTCTTCCCCCTAATGCTTCTAAAGCTGTTAGCAGACAACCTCACACTTTATGGCCGGAGGCAATACTCCTCCATAAGGTCCACCTGTGTGAAACTTAACTGATGTTTCCACTGATATACACTAATGCCAATAGGAGTCCTGGTGTGGGTTAATGCGCTGGACTGCAAGGTCAGTTTGAACCGCAAGGTCAGCAGTTCAAGTTCACCAGCCATTCCTCAGAAACCTTATACAGGGTCGCTATGGGCTGGAACTAACTCAACAACGCTTAACAACAACAATGCTAATACCAAAGGAGCCCTAGTAGTGTAGTGGACTATGAGCTGGACTGCTAACCACAAAGTCAGCAGTTCAAATTTGCCAGCCACTCCACAGGAAAAAGATGAGGTTTTCTGCTCCCATACAGATTTCCAGCCTCAGAAACCCTATACCAGGTCACTATGAGTCATACTTGACTAAGGGATACACAATCACCACCCTAATGCCAAGGGACAAATCTCCTTTCCTAGTGGCCCTAGAAGACAGACCAGAAAAGAAAGCTACAAATGGTGTACCCAGCAGCAGGTCCTAGACTGTGCTATGCATCAATCTGGACAGTGTCCTGAGAAAGAGAAACAAAGAGTAGATCATCCACAGTCAGGGTCCTACCCCCAGAAAGGAAAGCATTGGGTACAGATGATTAGATGTGACTCAGGAGTTGTAAGTAACAGGAAAGATGCAGCTGAAGCTTGTCTTCAGTGTAGAATCTTACATCTAATTTCTTCATGTAATCAGACTGCCTGAAATTGGACCAATTAGAGATCCATTTAGAAGATAATGGCTATTACTCATTTACACTTAGATTCAGCCAATTGTTTTCTCTTAACACATAACCTCAAGTGATTATTTTTCTCTTAACACAGAACCACTAATGGGAGTTTTGAAGACAGGAAGCAGATGGGAAGGAATAGGAAAAGTTGACTTTGGATAATGAACACAAAGTGCGGCTAGGAATGCCTCAGACAAAATAAGGTTAGCAGGAAACTTCAGTCTAAGAAGAGATGCAGGGAACATGCCAACAGGTGAGAGGTCAGAGGGCCACAGAAAGATGATGCAGTGCATCTCCTTGAAATTTCTGCCCAAAGGAGAGAAGGCCCATGAGCACCCTACTGGGGTAACCAGTGTAAGTAGATTTGCCTTCAGTACAGCCGCAATATTCCCATTAAAATATTGAAATGCAGGCCCCTAAATCCACATCCAAGATCACTGAGTTCAGATTTGTTCCAGAAGTCAGAATTTTTTTAAATTTTAGAACGGCAATATAGTACAGATACAATTTTGATAGCTTCACATCAGTTTGGCCCAAATTAGTTATGAAAGACATGTGGTTTTCAGAGCTTTTTGTATTTCAAAATTGTGGATAAAAGATTATATTTCTGTAGTAACTGATAAACCACCCATGGGCTCTTCCACTAATCTGGGCACCCTTCCATAGCCTTCTTACGACCCAGCAACCAACAGGTATTGCCTGGAAAAGCAGAAGACCCCTAGTATCTGAAGATGGGTCCATACTCTGGGATCTCTCAGCCTCCAGGTTGCTAAACCTTTCTATGTTTGCCCTTTTGTGGCATTGGAAGCTGGGGATTCAATCCTAAGAAGAAGCTGCAGGTGCCGTGGAAATGACCTAAACTTGTAATCTGAAGGCTGCAGGCCCATTTTGTCTCTGTGATTCACTAGCTCTGAGACTTTGGGTAGCCCAGTTCTCCCCTCTGAACCTCAGTGTTCCTAATCTATGAAATGGGAATCTCACATGGTTTGTAGGAGGACTAAGTTAAGTGTTTGGAGTTAAAGTGCTTTATTCTGCAAATTGCTTGTATCTGCCATTCCTAAAACATTGTCATTCCTACTTCTACAAAGTTGATTTGAACCACAAGGTCAGTGGTACAAGCTCACCAGTGGCTCCTTGGAAACCCTATGCAGTGTCGCTATGAGTAGTAACTGACTCGATGGCACTTAACCACAACAACCACCTCTGCATTGTTAGAAAAATGAAATCAAATCATGCATGCGAAAGTTCCCTAAACACTGCAAGGTATATACAAAATTGGAGTTAGTTATATTATTATTGCAAGACTTCCACCACAGAAAAGAATCAAGCTTCTCAGGGTTGGGAGGGTAGCCAGTGGGGCCAAGAAGAACCTATTCCCTATAAAACCTTTTATCTAGCTGCCTAACTCTAGTCCCACACCCTGCTGTGATGTGGCTCCTTGGTAAAGCAGACAAGAAAGGCCAAGGAGACCTGCTTAGGAACCTACCTTGGAAAGGAAATACTGGAGGAGTTGCCAGGGGGAACAGCCCTCAGGGTACCTGCCCATCACTTGTCTCTTCTAGGGGACCTTCCATCAGCCATAGTCCACAGTGATACCCACTCTCCCAGACAGAACACTGAACACAGACAACCAATCTTACCACTTGCTAACTCTATCTCCTTATCAGTTCCTTTTGGATTTGTGATCCACAAATGTACCTTTAGGATAATATGTGGAGGCTTCAAAAAGTTTGTAAAAAAAAAAAAAATGGTATTGAAAGATAATGGAATTTTTCAATGAACTTTTTGAAGGCCCCCTCATATTACCTATTTTAGAAATGAGTTCCTGTGTGGTATGTAAACGGCTAAGTATGCAACAACTAATAAGTTGAAGGATTAGTTGATTGGTGATTCAAATCCACCAAGATCTGTGAAATTTAGTTCCAAAAACTTTGAAAACCCAATGAGCACAGTTCTCTGACACACACAGGGTCATCGTAACTCAAAAGTGACTCAGTGGCAACTGGCTTACCTCATAAGTTGGTGGAAAGAAATCAGTGAGATGCCACATATAAAAAGCCTTTGTACATTGGGACGTACAACTCAAAAGTGAAGTTACTGTTACCATTGGAAGTTCAGGGATATGGTGGTAGCTCAGAAGCAGATGTTTTCATTGTAATGAGACTGAGCTGCCAAGGTTTGCTGGAGAAAACTAGATTCCTCCTTGAGCGGGCTAAGGAAAGCAAGATGCAAAACCTCGCACCTGTACAGCGACCCCTCCCTTGGGTCTGGACGGACATTGATAAGGTACTGTTGCGAGTGAGAAGGTTGTAATCCTGAGCACACTGGGCCCCTTCTGGGTTGTTTTCTGTGTTCTGCTCTTTTTTGTTTTGCTTTTAGATCTGGGTTTTTCTCAATCTATAGATTTTACTTTTATGTGTGATGCTGGACCCTGGAGAGCTAACAGCATGGAATTTTACAGGATTGATTTTGTGTGTTTTAACTGCAAGCAGCTCGACCCACAGCAAAGATGGAAACTGAACATTCTAGAGCAGTGCTCTTGTGTTGCATGTCTGGGAGTTTGATGGGGTTGATGATGAAGCTCTGGGTGCTGCTGTGAAAGAGGCTTCACTCTATCTGGCCAGACCCAACAGACTGCAATGAAATTGATGTGAACATCTAATCTGTCATCTGAACACTTGAGGGGCTCATTGTATTTTCTTACTCGTGTGTGACTGACTCCCTTTGCTATCTAATTATTATTATTCCCAAGATGCATCACTGTACAAAGCCTTCAAACACAACACGTGACAGTTTCAGAATGTTTTTGTGCCAACGACTATAGTGCAAAGATCAACTCTTGTTAGTTGCTTCCTACTTTCAGCCTTACTCTTTTTAAAAATCTCAGTATTCTTTCTGTCCTGCTACAATACTGCTTTTCCATAGTTAAAGAGGAGGACATTTTCTACAGGAAGCAGTGGCCCAAAATTAGAATCCATGATTTCATTTTTCTCTTCCCAATCTGAATCCCTGAATCGCATTAACTTGGCAAAACCAACTTTTACTGTAATGCAGGCATTAAATATTTACCACTTCTTTGAAGTCTTGCTTGAGAATTAATATGATTATTGTACAGCATTATATATATATTTATCGGTTTTTACTTCTCCGTCACCCAAGTTAATAGTTGGAGCCCTGGTATAGTGCTGTACGGTAAGCATTGGACTGCTAACCACAGGATTGGTGGTTCAAACCCACAAGCTGATCCTCAGAAACCTTATACCAGGTTGCAATGACTTGGAACCAACTCGACAGCACTTAAGAACAATAAGAACTCTCTAGTTAGTTATCACACAATACAAATTGTGAGTTATCCCCTAAAAGTAGTGCCAGGACAAACTGAAAATTTTAGGAAACACATAAACCACAGCCTCATATAGTCTCAATTTTATACAATTTGAACAACTGAAATCTTCTTAATATCTTAATATCTCCTTTAAGGAGAAAATATATATACCTTGTAATTATCTCTGTGTAACAGCAGCTTCATGATCTAGGCACATCTCATATTTACAGAACAATTCCGTGCTAATCTTCTTGTTGTTGTAAAAGTGCAGTCAGAACATCCAATTCATAGCAACCCTATATAGGGTTTACTGAGGAGCAGTTGGTGGGTTTGAACTGCCGACTTTGTGGTTCATAGGCCAGTGCTGATCCTACAGTGCCACAGCAGACTTCAGTATTTAATCAAAGCTTCAGATCATCTTCAACCCAGGTTCTAGGATTCCCTCCTGCTTTGGAATTTCATTGTCATTGTTACTGCTATTATTTAAAAGAGGCGTTAGAGATGGGATATGGCAATTTCTTGGGGAAAACAAATTAATGACTTGCATTGTCTCTCCAGACCCAAGGGGCAGGTTCTCCGCGTTCCTCTCCCAGCCACACCATCAGCAGGCCGATTCCCATGCCCATCCGGTCAGCATCCACCTGCTCCACGCTGACGCACACACCTCAGGACTCTCTCACTGGGGTCGGGGGAGATGTACAAGAGGCTTTTTCACAAAGTAAGTGGCTTTATTTTTGCTGGGTTCTACTTTGATGTAGCAAATACATCATCGAGGTGTGCTGAATGGCTGAAAGTTATCAAATCTATACAGAATATATTCTAGTGTATTCTATGGCTTTATTAGGAACTCCCTAGGCAGATCTCTTCCTCATTTCACCCATTCACCTTTCTCTATTGACCTGCTGCATTTTTCTATGAGCTTTTCTAAGGACTAGAAATCTATCCACTACACTACCAGGAAACATCTTAAATCCATTTTAAAATTTTGAAATAGCCTATATCCTACCCATTTCTCTTTATATTAAACTCAAGACTGTGCTTGAACATTTCTAGATTTTCAGTCATAAAGTAACATGGAAGAACTTCTTGTCAATTTATAGCAACCCTGTTTGGGTGTCCCAAGAGTTGAAGCCTTGTCTCTACTGTAGGGGCAGCAAGGTCAGACCACCGTGGTTACAGGAGGTGCACAAGAAGGGATGAGATATGACAAATACATGTTCCCATTGACTGCCTCTTCAATGTATAATGGCATACACACAGTGGAGATACCCCAGAGGAACCCTGGTGGCTCTGTGGGTTAAGCATTCAGTTTCTAACCAAAAAGTGGGCAATTCTAACCTACTAGTTGACCTTGAAAGGTGGGCAAGTCTAATCCACCTGCCAACTACTCAGTGAGAGAAAGTTGTGGCCATCGGTTGCTATAGGAAACTCAGTTCTATAGAGTCGTTATGAGTCTGAATCGATTCTATGGTGGTGGGTTTGGATTGGTTTAGGGTTTCCCAATGCAGTGACTGTATTCATTTGGAATGGTTAACACTTCTTAGAACTTTTCTTGCCGTCACATTTGAAATTTATAAAGTAAGAAAAAAATCCTCCTTCAGACCCTCACCCCACCAATCTCATTCCCAGAAGGAGACACTATTAACAGTTTGATACTTAATAATATTTTGCTTATATGTACAGATATGTAAGTGAATGTGTATATATACATATTCTTTATTTTCATGTAAATAAGGTGTGGAATTGCATTTTGCTCTGCCATTTATATTTTCTTAGAATTAGTAATATGTCATGAACATCTTTCTTGGTTTTCACAAATAAATTCAAGGAAAAGGGAGACATATGTGATGACTAAGACAAAAATGATCATAAATAAAGGCAAAGGTATAAAACAGATTTGAGAAAATCATTCCCAGAATATGTGGCAATCAAGTTTAATCATTTTAGTTATGCATAAAGTATGCAGAGATCAGTTTGAAAATGGTATCTCTCAAACAAAACTAGGTGAAGGAGAGGAGAAGGCAGAAGAAATATAAATCAACAATAGAGATATGAACATATATTCAAGCTCACAAATAATTATAGAAATATACATTTTAGCAGAGTCATCTTTTGCCTACCAAGTTAAAAAGTTTTAATTGTAATTTACATAATATACAGGGATAGCAAAAGTATGCATAAATGGACCTCATCCGTTGTGTATGGAAGTAGGGAACATTAAAAGGGACACAGTGAAGAACCATTTATTCTGTTATGAAGAGGTAGGGAGGATTCATAAGAGAGGTTTTTTTCTTCTCAATACTGAATGTAATTCAAAAGTTTTTTATAAGAATTTACAAAATAACTATCTTTTTCTTTAATTTTTAGAAAGAAAATGTCCTTTCCCTAAATCATAAATAAATTTGTAATAGTCTGAATCATTTGAATCTCTATTATAATTCATGTTTTACTTACTTTGGATTTTTTTATTTAATTGTGTTTATTGTTATCTTAAGGAGCTCTGGTAGTGCAGTGGTTATGACTCGGGGTGCTAACCTGAAGGTTGGCAGTTCGAAACTACCAGCTGTTCCACAGGAGAAAGATGAGGCTTTCAGCTCCTGTAAAGTTCAGGGTCACTATGAGTCAGAACCGACTCCACAGTACTTAACAACAACAACATTGTTATCTTGGAGTCCCGGTGTGGCGCTGTGAGCTAATGTGTCAGACTGCAAAGTCGTTTGAACTGCAAGGTCAGTGGTTCAAGCTCACCAGCTGCTCCTTGGAAACCCTATACAGGGTCGTTATGCGTCGGAATTGACTTGACGGCACTTAACAACAACAACAACAACATTGTTATCTTACTTACAACTTTCTGTGAAATGACAGAATGGTATAGTTTATCATCACAAAATGTTCATGCTGTGTATATATATACACACACATCATATTGTTGTTGTTGTTAAGTGCCATCGAGTGCCATAGCTACTCTGTATTGGGTTTCTGAGGAGCGGCTGGTGGGTTTGAACCACTGACCTTGTGATTCAAACTGACCTTGTAAAGCATATTATACCACAGTGCCAAACCAGGATTCCATATACATCATCTCTACATCAATTATTTGAAACCTTGAATGCTTCATTCCAATGTTACTATGGTGATTAGGTCTCTGAACCATCTCCACTATGCCCCACTTCCACACCAGCCCACAAATACCCACTTAACCCTCAGCATACCTGAAGCACAGTAATAATCCCTCTAAGCACTGGACTGCGAACCACAAGGTCCACAGTTCAAGCCTGCTAGCGGTTCCACAGGAGAAAGACGAGGCTTTCTTCTCCCGTGAAGATTTAAAACCTCAGGAACTCTATACAGGGTCGCTGTGAGTCAGAACCAACTCGATGGCACTTAACAACTATAGAGAAACATTCCAGGTTTCAAGTCTAGGTATGCCCATGTCTTGGCAGCAGGAATAAGAATTCTTGAGCATTTCCACACTTTGATTTATTTGGTATACGGATTCCCCATTCCTAAAACCAAACCAAACTTGTTGCCACTGAGTTGATTCTACCTCATGCCAACCCTATGTGTATCCGAATAGAACTGCTTCATAGGATTTTCAGTGGCTGATTTTTCATAAATAGATCACCATGCCGGTCTTCCAAAGCACTTCTGAGTGGGTCCATTTACACCATTCAAGGACTCTGTTTCCCATATCACAAGACTTCTTTAAAGTGTTCAAGAACAGAGATGTCAGTTTGAGGACTAAGCTGTGCCTGGCTCAAGTCTTGATATTTTGAATATCTTCCTATGCTTGTGAAAGTTGGTCAGTGAATAAGGAAGACTACAGAAGAATTGATGCATCTGAGTTGTGGTGTTGGAGAAGAATATTGTAAGTATGAAGAACACTAAAAGAACAAACAAATCTGTTTTGAAAGAAGTACAGTCAGAATGCTCTAAGATGGCGAGACTTTATCTCTCATAGTTGGGATATATTATCGGGAGGAAACAGTCCCTGGAGAAAGTGCTTGGTAGAGTGGAAGGTCAGCGAAAAGAGGAAGACCCCCAACAAGATGAACTGGCACAGTGGCAGTAGCAATGGGCTCAAGCATAACAACAATTGTGTTTCATTCTGTTGTGTAGAAGGTTGCTATGAATCAGAACCATTCAACATCACCTAACAATAGCAAGTTGTTGTTACGTGCCATCAAGTCAATTCTGACTCATAGTGACCCAGTATAGGGTTTCTAAGGAGTGGCTGGTGAGCTTGAACCACAGACCTTGTGGTACAATCTGACCTTGCAGTTCAGTACATTAACCCACATCACCACACCAGGACTCCAGAAAACAAGAGGTACCTATAATGGTAGGGGGAGCACTAGGAGCTCTGAGAAGAGACAGAGCCTGTGGTTAGGAAGCTCAGAATCCAGTGTGCCCCACCACTAGGAGAGTAGGCACAGCATTCTGGCAAAACCAGACATCTAATCTGTATGGGTATTTCCTAAGCATGGTGATCACACATAATGTTCTACCCAGAACCATCCCAGTTTGCCCAAGGGAACACAGTCTTATTAATCCTTTCCCTTATAATTCTCAAAATTTTCTCTGTATGCCAATATTCTTGTAGCATTCATCACAATAGACAAAAGATAGAAACAACCCGTGTCCATCAGCAGTTGGATGGTGTATCTCTGCAATAAAATGTAGTGTAAGCTCTACAGTTAAGTATTATCTAGTAATGAAGATAAATGTAGATCTGATACATGCTAAGACATCAATGAATCTTGAAAACATTATGTTGAGTGAAATACGTCAGCCACAACAGGACAAATATTGTATGATCTCACATACATAAGCTATCTAGAATAGGCCAATGCAAAGAGACAACTGTTTATTAGTGGCTTACCAGGGGCTGGGGAGAGGGAAGATCAAGGAGTAATTACTTCAGGAGCACTGACAATTTGCAGTTATGAAAATATTTGGAAACAGATAGTGATGATCATACAATACAGTTGGTAAGATTCATGCCAAGGAATTGTAACTTTAAAATGGTCTAAATGTCATTTTTAAAAAAAGTTTATGCTACAAGAGTTGTTGTAATTACCTTGATTTTGACAATAAATTATAATATTAGCCATTTAGTCTATCATCAGGGGTCACTGCCCTCAGCATTGTGTAGATTGTTTAGGAAAAGAGTAAAAACATTGCTGAGAAGTCTTAGAAGTACTTGTATTTTAGAATGATAATGAAAATGATTTGGGGGAAAGGAAAGATTTTAATTTTTATTTGTTTATTTTCTTAAGGTTCAAGAAGAAATTTAAGGAACGATTTACTGGTGGCAGCAGACTCCATCACTAATACCATGTCATCTCTGGTGAAAGAACTAAATTCTGGTGAGTCCCTGGCCCCTCGCCTGTCTGCTCGGTGTAGAGGGAGCCAGGAATGGGAGGTCCCTACTGGGAAGCTGCTCATTGCCATTGATAAAGAGACATTTTAAAGATGTATGTGACATTTTGTTGATGTATTCAAAATTTTTTATTATAGTATTTCTATTTTGCACTGGTCTACAAAGCCTGCACTTTGAGCCCACCAGCCACTCCTTGGCAGATTGATGCTTTCTGCTCCCATGAAGATTTAAAGCCTAGGAAACCCTATGCATGGTAGCTATGAGTCAGAACTGACTCACTGGCACTTAACAATAATATTTTGTGAATTAGAATTATTGATACTCATATGCGCTCAGGACAGAAAACATAAAGAAAAATATTAAAATCAACTTATCTTCTAGGATCCATAGTCACTGTTAACTTTTTGGTTGTGTTTATTTTCTCATCTATCTAAAAAAAAAAAATCTATGTACAAATTACTTTGTAGATATAAAATAACACTGGAATATGTGCACGTGTGCTTTTGCGTCTTGCATCTTATCTCAGTGTGATTTTCCCATGCTGAAATGTTGGCAGTTCAAGTCCACCCAAAGGAACCTCAGAAGGTCTAAAGACCTATTTCCAAAAATCAGCCAAAATCAGAGCCAACCCCATGTTAACTCGTGGTGGTTGTGGTAATAGACCTTACACTGCCATTCCAGTGTAAGGAGCTCTGGTAGCGTAGTGGTTACGAATCGGGCTGTGAACCTTAAGGTCAGCGGTTCGAAACTACCAGCCGCTCCGCAGGAGAAAGATG